GTTAGTTATTTTATTCACTGAATACCCTCTGTGGCCCCATAAACCTCAGACCAACTTCTGGGAAATAATCGCAACTGGCACCAATATGCCCTTCTTCACCTCATGTTAATGAGAGCAAGTGCCCCTCCTCCCACTCCCCCCCCCCCCCCCCCCCCCCCCCCCCCAAGGCGGTTGAATCCTTCGACACAAACGCAGAGAGCTGAATAACCAGACCGCAATAGGTCTAGCGAATAAAGAGGACATTTCTATTATGATAGGGACTCGGCGATACAACAAATTAACCTACGACAAACAAAGGATAGCACTTCCAACTTCAATCAGATTGTATTATGGTGGTAAGAAGGATGCACTTTTAGAGTTATATTTCACGTGGACCAAATATACCAATTCGTGGTTCTTCTTCAATTCCACAACTTTATTTCTACTTTTTACATATATTATATATTTGTTAAAAAGCGCTAAATTGGTGGGTATTTGGAACAAAGACTAGGTTTGCGGTAACTCTACGTAATTATTGAATGGGGGGGGGGGTGCGATAGACTTACCTCCTCGTGTTGTACCCTGGGTAACATACACTCATACGGCAAAAAAGTCTATTAACTGGCAGTTGACCTCTGACTTCAAACTACCATGACCCCACTGTATGTCATATTCGACTCCTTCCACAGTACTCACCTAGCCTTTTCTCTGCCTGTCTGCCTTTACATCTGTGAATCTCTCTTCTGCTCCCCTGTCGAATTTTTCTCACTTTAATGTTCCTCCATTCTGTGAAGCCCGAAGCCAACTAAAGGGCTAGTGATAACTATCAAAATGCCTGCCATTTGAAATAAATAAATTATTGAATTGGGCGAATTCGGGGTCTAGTAGGTATACCACGATAAAAAATAAGTAAAGTGCCATTTAATATCATTTACTAGGTGTCAGAACGTGGTTGGTTATCTTAAGAGATTTGAATCCAACTTAAGTAAGTCCGGACTGGTTAAGACTAGTCAATAAGACAGATTGCGAATGTCGCACAGAAATGACCTAAAGATCCTCTCTTTTGATTAAAAGGGGAGTTGAAAGTGAAGAGCGCATAATATTCTGATAGGAGATTAATGATGGGGGGGGGGTGTGAGGAGGGAAAAATTTAAGTGAATATCAAGAGTCCAACTTCATATGGACTTTGAACTCGTTAATTAGGAAATATTTTACTCAAAAGACTTAATGCTCTCAAGTTCTACTTCAATGCTTGTTGATCAGAATAACCCGTTGATACTGACAGAGATGTTTCTATCATCTATCGTACGAACTCATTTTAAATAAACGAGGCATTTAAACAGATACTATTGGGGAATCATATCCTCTCGAAAATCAGTTTGAGTAAGCTATTAAAGGCAGTAAATGTGGAAGAAAGCGCCCACATAAATAAGCGAACGCAAACTAGTCACCTCGGAATAAGGTAAATAACAACCATTTAAATAACTGAACGACCAATTGATCAAGGCAAACTTCTCAGCTATTATTAAATTACGCAATTTAAATTACTCCGGAAGGCAAGATGAGATTAAAGTTAATAAAATTAAACAAATTGCGACGCTAACAATACCGCTAACCCATTTTCCGAGGGCTGGGAAAAAATGAGGATCTTGTAAAAATGGATAGAATCTGATATCTGATTAAAAGAATTTTGAAATTAATACGTCTTTCTACCACTATAAAGCAGATATAAACCGAAAACAGCAAAGATGTGAGTAGAAACTGTTTTGAACACTTCAAGCGACCATGAAATATATATTTGGGTTGAGAAATACTACTTAAGTAACTAAATAAGTAGAATGGAAATTTTAAAGAACATAACTTGCCTGATGAAGATGTAAGGCACGTCGATAACTAGTAGTCAGAAGAATTACTCCACTAACTTGTTTGGATAAGACTAAAATGAAAAGACAAAATATTATGTGGTGCTCTTTAATTTCACAAATGAGTAATGAAAACAACCTCAGAAAATCTACCAAGGCCTCAAACTCACTACAAAACTTTTGAGAGAACACGCAAAACCATTCAAAATTATATGTTCTGTGATCAGAACTTTAGCCTCTATTATCTCATATAAAAAAAATCGCTGATCCACAGCGAAATTCATTTTACCGTACATCTTCGAATTTCATCCACGTTTTCAAATCAGTGAACAAGATACTAAAAATATATAACTGCCACCATAACTCGTACAATTTTAGAAACAAAATTTCATTAACATTTTTTAGGAAATGGACTAAGCTAGCCAAATAGTTGAACTATCATTCAAGCCCAACTCTTTCGTAAAATAACCATCAACAAATAAATATGGCTATAAGATAAATATCAAGCAACCTTAACCTATTTGAGAAGAGAACCTCCTTAAGATTTCTCAGGGATAATACTCAATACTCGTTAACATATATGCTTTCCGGTCAATATGGCACACTTAACATCGCAAATGAGTATTCCAGTAAGGTTCAAAATATAAGACCAAAGACTATTAAAGTACACACTTAACTGTATAAATGCGTACATTTACAAGTTCATACAAAGCCTCGATAAAAAATATCTGATCAGACAAACTTCTTACCAGTGGGCAAGTTGAAAATTGAATTCGAGACCTTTGAAAACAAAATAAAGAAAGCGATGCAGGTGAGCAGTTAATGTAATTTTCGGTGAATTGAAGGTTCAGCAAACTATCGAGTATGATTTGTCTGAAAAAGTTGATACAAGGAGATATGGAACAGCAAGCAAACACCTATAATGATTAAAATTACGTAAAAGAATACAGCAATTATAATTCCATTTTGAGGTCGGGATTACTACAGTTGGAAACAGATAAAGCCAATAATTGTACTGAAAGAATAATCACTAAAATACAATATAATGGCATGAAGTAAGATTCAATAGAGTAGAAACTAAAATGTAAAAGCTCACATAGAGGTTGATTATATTAAAGAGAAAAAAATGTCTTAAGTCTGACGAACTTCTCCATTTGGGTAATAGTATACTTCAAAACTCAAGTGGATATAAGATTAAAAAAATATCAACATCTACAAAGTTTGAACCATTAATATGGATGAAAAAGTAAATTCAATAATAATTAAGCGGAAATAAGGTAAAATAATCGAATTTTAAACCGAAAAATATTTCAAAATTCTGACGACGCTTAATCAAATTGGTGCTGTCTTGATGGTTGAGCCATACTAACAAATATATTAAAGTCCATTTATCTGACAAAAAAGACTTACTTTTCGTATTTACATCAAATAGAAATGTCAATACTATTTATTGCATAAAATCCAATCAAAATGAATCATGTTACATTACATTGATAATATATAGCTGTATATATATTCCGTATGTTTCTCAAGTATCGATTTATTTTAAAGAGCTCTGACGTATATTTTTAGTACCTTCCCAAAACACAACCATTTTTTTTATTTTGAAAAGTATTCTGAGCTCTCTTTGAAAGTTTCTTGACCTTCCCATTACAATATATTGGTTTTTTAAACAGAGCTTTGATATTAACGTGCAAAATAATTTTCACTATTCTAATAATTGTTGTCGCATTCGCACTTTATTAATTATTAGATCATTATTATTAATATGAATAAGATAGTAAGAACAGCTTACTTAAAATCAAAACTTATATATATATATATATATATATTTACCCTAATATCCATCTGTCACCTTCCCGGTCCATACTCTCCATTAATCTTTAGGCTGTTTCTTATTTATTTCGATAAGTCGTTTCAATTTTGTTTTTACACTTTTAATAATTTTCTTGCTTCTTTCAATTAATGTTATATTTAAATTTTTGATCATCAATAATGCAACGGTTCAATCTAATTCTAATATCTGGTTTCAATATTACTAACATGTAAAATTAACAATTGACCATTCTTTATCCTCTCAACCTTAATAAACATCCATTTTAATCTATCTCTCATTGTGCTTATCTGACGGTGATGCTCAAATCACTATCTGAATTGCTGTCTTGCCCAAATCAGCAGTCGCTAATCATCTAAGTTGAATACCGATGTGATTTTTAAAGAGTATTTTCTTGGTATTTTTTAATACCTGGTTCTGTATTCTTCGCTTTTTAGAGGTACTTTCATGCAAACGTTTTTTTACATTACACTAGTACAATGTGATCACATTAAACTACAAATATACCTATATTATATTATGTTCTTATGTTATGATTTTACTTTACTTCTTTTTAACAACTAGGAAAATTGCCTAAGAAATTCTTAAAAAACCTAGGAAATGTAAGGTTCCATTAGAGTTAAACGTTTAAATGGTGATATGTAAACTAATGATTAACTAAACATTTTTAATATCCTTGTAGTCAGCTTTGTATATTGCCAAATGATTAGCGATATAAAGTAACCCATTGAAAAAATTAAATTAAATTAAATTAAAAATGAATTTTTCTAAAATATTTCAGTCTTTTTTACCGTATGCGGTTTTGTCATAGAATTCCATCCCCGTTTTGAAACCTGGGCAAAGTATACTCATACGGCAAAAAGTCATATATTAAAATATTTATTTTTTGTATTCTAAAACTATATATAGCCACATTTACTATTTTCACGCAGTTTTAGAGTATAACTATTGTATGTCCTACAAAACATATTATGCGCTAAAATTTAGCTTTAGTGTTAGACCGCTTATCTTGTATAGTCCGGATGTATACTAATGTGTTTTATAGATCAAAATCACTCTTTGCAAATTTATTTCAAACTATGCTTTCATGCAATTGTTGTGTTACGTATAAATATTTTTCTCTAAACCCTTTTATTTCCTATACATTCATGTTTACCTTTTAAAAATATTTCTAAATTTAAATTTACTAATTTTTTCTGAAGGGTTACTACTAACTATAACCAAAGTATTTTCATTTGCAATGCCTTCAGATATTCAATACTGCTTTGTGAAGGTGTTGTTCAATTTATTTCTGGTTTCTATTAATAGAATCTTCTTCCGCCTTTATGAACACTGCTTGGACAATTCGATCCCGTCGAAATGCTCCAAATGTTCGGCGTCCAGCATCGCTCACATCTCTTCCGGATCTTTCTGATGAACTTGAAATTGGTAGCCGACCCAGCAGTGATGCTAGTGGTCTCTTTGATTCATGGGATCAAACGCCATATATCTCCAATACTTCTAACTGCCAATCCAATATTTCTGTATCCTTTCTCGGTAGTTGTATCCGACGCCAATACCGATCTTCATTTCTCCTCTCTGATGAACAAGTTGTCGGTGTAAGTCGATGTGAAACATTTCATCCTGAAGATGCTAAAGCAGACGTTCGCATAAATATCGCCGTCCAAGGTCCACCAAATGAGTCCATTACTCCAGGTTATCGACGGTCACAATCTGTTCCAAGTTTGCTTCATGATAACCTTAACGAAAACGGTGGTTGGGCTCGTTTAATGCTTACTACTGATAGGCCTCAAGGTTCTGAAATTCTCGGTCGAATTGGCAGTCGAAATTACTTTGCAAAAGTAGGAATTAATTCTCCATACTTTCATCGGCGAATTACACCAATGAAAAAGGAGGAAGAATATATTATTGAGTTGAATGAACCCCGTAAAAACCCAGAATTGGAGAGGGAAAAGCAAACCCTTTCTGCCTCACTTTTGAGTGGAACAGCATCAGATGGAGAACCTAGTATCGATCGTTTTGAGAAGGAAACATTTCTAGATACTGCAAGACGACATGGAAGCCCTAATATTGTTGCCACTTCCACAGCAGTTTCTTATTTACCTCGAGCGTCGCTCAGTGACAAGAGTAAGTTATGTGTCATTACAACGATTTTCCATCTCACGTGTGGTTCTTCTTTGGTATGTTATTAGTCGATAACACTAACGTTTGGGAAAACCATCGAATGGGGTAATTGGCCAATATGTTTACTTCCGATTTTCTTCATTTATTAGCCAATGCCAAATGCGATGAGAGATTTTTAGGTCTCAATTACAAAAACATCTATAGGTTCAAGTGTAAAATGGATTGAGCGGATATCACATGTTCCTTTAAGTACTCATCGAACGCTTTCTCTTGTCCCGAGGTCAATTTAAAAACAAAACTGGCTTTATTTATTTATGAAAGATAATATGCTTGAAAATATTGGAAATTAATTGAAAGCTTTATAAAACCGTTGCCTTATCATATCACTATATGCATATATATATTGTCGTTGCTATGACAATAATTCTTTATAAATAAGTCCATCCATTTTCACTATTGGTTTCAATGAATTGACCTATGGGAATGGGCAGTGGTAATTCTTAAAGTCAATCAACTCAATTCATTAATGATTAGGTAAATTGGTATCGCTATTAAGGCGTATTGCATTATCTCAGTTGGGCATAGTTTTCAAAATATTAGTGTACCTTTTTGAACAAATATTCATTATTTTAAACTAGTCCATCTATAAAGGTAAATGCTCCACATAAAGAGATACTTCAAAGAGAATGGGAAATCAAAGTAATGATTATGTGTTAAATTGGTAATGTGTTCTATAAAATTTTGATTTTTTTCCTTTTTTAACGTCCCCGAAAACAAAAATATCGGGTTTTTTATTTACATTTAACAAATAATGTCTTCTTTCAATCGCTTTTATTGGGGTGTTGAAACAGCCATCATTAGTAATCTGATCTCCAAAGTTTTATCGTTATTTGTTACTGCTGTTCGATTATCAATTGACATGATAGCTATTAAAATTACAATCATCTTTTAGCTTTTCTTCAAATCGGGATACAAAATCCTCATTTGTAAATCGCGCCTTCTGGCACTATGAGAAATTCTTTTGAGGACATCTAAATCTCGTCCTTTGCTACTTAGTCACACACACAGAGGGCGTCGGATTGTGTGAAAATGCACACCTCTTCGATATTCCCTTTAAACTGCTAATGCATTGACTGGTGCGGTATAGTCGGGCGTCAACACGAGTCGAGTTATATGCTTCCACTCACATTCAGAGTATTTGAGTAATCAAAATTTCCGGGCCAGTTAATTAAATTATTACTCTGATAGGATTCTACCGACTTAAAGAACTGCCTTTCAAACAGACATATCATTTGAATAAACGTTTTGCTTGTTTAAGAAATACTTAATGAAGATCTCATATCTACCTTTTTGAAAGTATTTTGCGCTTTCATTTGGATTGTTTTTTATTATCAATTGGCAAGTGCTTAGTAAATATCTTCCAGTTATGATGAGCACAAATTAATTTTGTAATCAGTGGCTAATTACAATTTCTCATAAGGTAGACCACAAGTTATATTTTCACAGCAATGGAATATTGACGACTCTTTCATTAATTCTTGTCAAACATTTGAAAACAAACATTCATTAAAGGATGGAGGTTTGAATTAGGACCTCCTCTAATTAAAGAAGTTTATGAAAGCCTGCTTCAGTTAATTGAACTTCAAATCACCGAACTCAACTCCTCGTTTAATTAATAATTTAGATCTAGAGTTGTCTAGATTGAATTAGTACTGTTTTTTGTCTATTTTTCGAGAAAATACGGTTGTGTAATGAAAATTGATGTGTTTACAGTAGCGCACCCAGATTTTTTTACATCAACATGAGGTGTCGTCATGTACCTACATCGTGAAGGATTAAGGACCTCTTCCCCTATCTTCTCTACTTGTGACGTGAGAATTTGTCTTTTCAAATGGTCAATAAGCTATTCATCCTGACTAGAAAGAGAGAGTTGGCTAAGGGTGTGAAGGGGAGGTATTCAAACTACGACAGAAGTCTTCAAACCTAATGGAATACCATCGGTTTGACTTTCAGAGTGTCATTCTTCTTTCTCAATTCTGTTTGAGTTCGGCATATTTTTTCACTATGTTCGCTTTTGCCACAAAAGTAGCAAATGTGAGATTTGAATAGACAAAATCGGACAAGATGCTAATCTAGTTAAGGAACTCTCTTGGTTCATGCCGCATCGCACTTAATGTCCAAATCTATGGCTACCTTAATATGATTCTATCAATTGCTTAGACCATTTTGAAAGTTCTGCAATCATACCAATTTGGTAAGGGTCGTGGATGTCACTCAAAATAGTGGACGCTTGAAATGTACCCGTCAAATTAACAGAAAAAAACTAGTTTAAATGTGCTTAAATGTTCTTAGGCCTTCCAAATCAGTTAGTAAAAGTTCGACCTATTCCTGGATTATCTTGAAACTCATTTCCTTGTGGAGCAAGAAAATCTGCAGTTAGTCTGCTAATGAAAGTATCCAATATTTCAACTTTCTTGTTCATACATGAAGTAAAAGCGTTCTAGCAGCATCACAAGGGTTTGCCATTGTTTCTTCAGACTTAGTTCACATTCATTAATACTCAATCAATTGTTCAGAAGTATTCAAATATTGAATTCTTCAGGTCGATATTCCAACCAGACAAAGTATTAAATCTAGTTCTAATGGTTATAATAAATTTTATGCAGTATGAGATTACTAACAATATTAAAATAAACTAGATTTAATTTAGTTAATAACGGGAAAAAGACCCAAAATAGATGTATTTCACTAAGGCCAAATATTCAATCATAATTATATTTTCACTCTGACAGTTTCTACCACTTCCCTATCTAAAATGGGACAATATCTCTTGAATATATTCGCATCAACGATGATGCTGGTATTAATTTCTCGAAAAACTGTCATTAAATTTTATGCAATCAATAAATCTATTTCCTTCATGCCGACTTTTCTCCGAATAAGTTGAAAAGAATATGGTGGTCCATGTGGAAATCGGAATTAATCTGGATGATTAGTATTGATAAATTAAATAGGCTTTCGTGTGCTCAATTCTAGGTAATCTAGAAAATTTGTAGTCATTTTTTCAACAAGTATGCAAATGAATAAACAGATACACCCAAGACTCACTAAATTTTAAGAACTCCTTTTCTTTTGGTCTTGGTTTAAATTAACTGGATTTTTTCTTACGGGCGTTATCCAATTTTCAGGTATGATATGAAATCGTCTAGGCTGCAACTACCAAAAACTACTATAAAAACCCTCTTTCATTAGAGATATGATTTGTCACTTACTCAGAAAATGACTTTAAATTAATTCCATTAATAAATAATAAATGGTTCAAATAGCTCTACTTTTAATTAAACAGCAATCTATCAATTCACACTGTGACACTGTTTATTTTCCACGTACCTCAAAATAACGTGACGAGGAGAGGACACTTAGAACTTACTAAATTCTGTAAAATTTAACCTTTTGCATGTCCATCTTGTACCTTGTTGTGTCTTTTCTTTCACCTGCATGCTGCATGTTGTTCTGCTATTTCACCTTTGATCCCTCCCTTCAACTAAAGACGCGCCGCAGTCGTCGGTTCCTGAAGCGTCTTCACCATCGACAAATCCACTGTCTTCTGAAAATCTCCCATCAACAGAACGCTCTGAAAGTTTCCTCCACTTGAAACGCAGTAAAACTAAGTCTTCACTTAGCTTACATACTTTGAACTCTGTTGGAACGCCATGGAATGAACCGATTCGTCAAAAGAGTTCTGCTGAGTCCCCAATGCGAGAATCCGCGACTCCGCATATTGATAATACGTTATCGCTGCATACGGACCTTGATGAGGATTGTAACATAGAGAAGGCTCAAGGAATGGATGCCGAAAAAGGTGGGTTTCAAAGGTTTCAGCATTATTTGCCTATGTAATTTTTGTTTACTTAGATATTATAAGTAGACTGCCGTATTTAAATGCATTCTCAGTTGGTACGACTTATATTTAAGCACTTCGGCGTCTGTTTCATATTGTGTTTTGAATCCTTTTCAATGCACTATTATTCAAATCGCAATGAATAATTGCGAAAGAAGCTTAGGGTAATTCAAAGTAAGATTTTAAAGGTATTGGGATTATGTAGCTCTTTGAAGTGGTTGGAAAACTGAGACAAATATTTCCGGTCCACCTAAACGGGAAACATATTTTTTATTACTCATGGACTAGATTATTATTTATTAGAAAAGTTTACTTTCGTATGGATATATAAACCATCACTTAAGCGATTTTTTGCTGCATTTGTCTTTCTTAATCGCGCGGCCATCAATTACACACTTCCTTATGTTTAATGCTCAAATTTAATTTCTTCATTGAGTAAATATTGTTTTTTTCACTATGGATCTTCCTCTTTCTGCTTCCTGTGGTCTGCATACCCCTGGTGTATAAAACTAGTCCTAATTTTATCGGAATTTCGTTGTAACTGTTTATTTTACTCGTAATTAAATAAATTAACAGATTAGGTATTGTAGAAATTTGAATAGTAATTTGTACTCGAAGTTTGTGTGTGTTACTGGACTCTACTTAATTTCTTAAATTTTCCTAATATTTTATCTCACCTAGGATTGGGTTCAAAATGATGTTAGAGAGCGTTGAATTATATTGTTTGTTATCCAAAATCCATGATTTTATTCCTTCTTTATTATAGTCTTTTTTTAATTTGTAATTTTGGTGAAAAATTAAAAGGTCGTAATCACTGGAATATTATCTTGATTAGGCCTAATTAATTTCTAGATCAATTGTGTGTTTTGAAAATTGCAAAAGTTTACCTTCTTCTTCAAATGGACTTATGCGAATGCCTGTCGCAAGATAAAAAGAACAGAACTCATTGAATTTATCTTTGTTTATTATAGAATCAAAGTTTTACATCAATCTTGTTCAAAGTGACTTCTACTCTCTTTGTCTCCAGGTTCACTTCTTAGGGTCCAGCGCTCTGAAGATAACGCCACAGGACCTTCTGTTCTCTCCTTCTTCAGTGCTACAAACGGCCTCGGTGGACCAGATGGTCAAGAACGCATTTCCAGTTATTACGGTCATAAACATAGGAAAAGTACAATCCTCTACACAACTCTCCATAATAACAATGGTCATGTAGTCAACCTCGGTTTAGATGATTCGACTAAAACCCAAGACTCTAATAAAATAGAGGATACTAACGAATGCATAACTTCAGAGAGCATCAAGCTAACCATGGATAAGGATGTAGACAGTATTGAATATGATTCCCACCCTCCTTTGCCAAAAGAACGTAAGAGAAAACCTTTTGAACAGGCAGAGTTGCCTGATGATGGTATGTCCTATGCTAGTATATTTTTAAATACGGTGTCTACTTGCACAATTTTAGTAGCGCGTTTTGCAAGCAAATGATAATAGCCTTTTCTGTCTTCACTTGGTGATGCTGCGTCTTTGACTTTTTTTATTTTCACTTGGCAGTGGTATTAATCCTCTTTAAAATTCCCACCTAGAACCATGTGATGATATTGCCAATTGAGACCACTAAAATGTAAATTGTTCCCATTGTTAATGCAATACATAACAATCTCTTCCTAAGTTGTTATTCCAACTATGGTTTTTTTCAAATAGGGTAGGTCATATAATTGTTTTACTCATAATTTCGTGAACTTGAGTTCGTTTCCTCCTGGACTTCCGATTTCAATGCTTTAACTGCTTCTCTAAAGAAGCAGAAGTAATTTGCATTTATTTGATTTTTTGGTTTTCCGGTATATTTTCATTGATCTGTAATCATTCCCGCATTTAACTAACATTTGTTCTTGATTTTAATTTTTTGTTTCAAATCTAAAAGCACTTAAGTGTTCTCCCTCATAGCCTACATTTTGAAATATGTTCACGACGTAGTTCATATTTCGTCAATGGGTACATTTTTAGACGAAACTTAGTATTTTCAAGTGTTCATACCTTTGAACAGATGCTATTATAAAGTCTTCTATTCTAATTTTCTTTATGGAATCCACGAAGTGGCTTCTATTTCGCATTCACTATTCATAGGTACTTTATGTTCACCTTGAGTTGGGTCTAGCTGGTATTAACTAGCCGATATGGTGTGAACAGGAACCTGCAGGTCAAATCCAGTCACTTGTTTGTTTTTCAATTGTGAAAATTTCAATGTACCAATAGTTCAACTTCTTTCGGACTTTCCTCCCCAACCCCTTAACCCACCCTTGATTTCGAAATCTGTGATTAGCCATTTAACTTTGTTCAGCAATTCTTTGGCATTACTTGCTGTTTAATCATATTTACACATTTTTATAACTAAAATGTGATCCCAAGTAGGCATCAATCACAACTGGTACTATCGTATAAATATTTTGTTTCAATACCAAAGTTTATTTATTAGGCCTTCTCTCTCCCACAAATGCCCCTATAAAATGTGTATTGTTTTAAAATTAAGTGTGTTGCAGCGGTGTGCAGAGTACGTTATTTAATGTAATGCATTACTCAGCATAACCTTTTCATTTATTAATGGTTGAAGTTTAAATTTATATTTTGGTTTTCTTTGCATTTCATAGGCCACGTCTAAATATTTTCTCTTTTCCATTCTCTTATAACGACGGCCTTCTTAATATCTTCTATGTTGTGATAAATTGTTAGATCTTACAAAAGCTGAAATCTGATAATTTTTTATAAACTTATTTAATCATCTGTTCGTGCATTAATTTCCTTTTCCAGCCTCCCAAACGGATTACTCACGGACTGACTCAAGCAGTCTAACCCAGTTTCCCGAAAAGGATTCTTATTCTGAAGCCAGCAGACAATCTTTTGGTGAGTGATATTCCGCTAACATCTCAATCATTAAAACAAAATTCCGAATTTGTAGCTGTATCAGACCAATGAAAAGACTTGGCTAGGCTGTGAAACCAATGTATCATTTTTTTAAAATGCCTGTCTGGTATTGAGCCACAAACGTAATCGATTGATGCAATATCATTTCGTCAGGAAAAAATCAATAACCATAACCCTGGTTATAGATTCGATTCTCTAAAACATTATCGAGTATTTCAGTAATTAATGTTTCTTACATTAATGGCAAGATAAGCTTTTACCGGTCACTACAACGATAAGCCTTAGCTAAACTTCAATAGTCCTCTCTAGAGAAATCCTCTTATTTAAATTTGACCCAAAAGTTAGCTAGGTTACGCTCAAAGTAGGGGGAAAAGAAAAAAAATTGAATGAAGGGGTGTTTATTACACCTTATGGTCACTGATATCTGATGGCCTTTCTCTCTCTCTCCCTCTACAGTTCATATAAATTTTACAAATAAAAATTGTAGCAACATTGTCTAACTTCGCCTAAAATGCCTCGCAATTGTTTCACTACCTAATTGTGCAAATACACTTCTAGTGTGGATAACATCAAGCACTTGCCCTCTTTCTCCGTGTCAAGTAGTCATTTGTACCAGTGGTCAAAGCCATCTTTCCTAAACGCAATAGCACCTACATCCCTGCTTAAGACACCGTGATAACCTTGAAAAATCCATCCAGCACACGCGTGTTCGCCAGTGTGCAAAATATTCAATAACGGCAAGCGCGTTGCAGTCGGTTTTAATGAACCCGCATAGCCAAAAGTGGGCTTTGTTTAGTCGCCTTTAGTCACGCGCTGTAGGTATTAAGTACTCCTCCCTTTAAAGTTCTTTTCTACGGGTTTGACACCTTGGGGAGTGCAAAACTAGTCTTCTTCTTGCACCCAAATAGTTCATCCCTTTACGGCCCTTCGGTTCCACTCCAGCAAATATTTATTATCTAAAAGGACTTTGAGTGCTCAGTGATTTTAAATCATACAAGTTAAATCTTGGTTGCCTTGAGTTAAGGGAATATGGTTTATGTGCAAAAAGTTTTCTTGCTGTCGCAAAACTTATATTTCATCTCTTTATCTATGAAGAAGATATAGGAAGTCGCGTCTTCTTCATGGGACATTTCAATAAGGCGGCAAGTAGTTTCATTGTTTGGCCATCCTAAAGAACTTACAACAGTACTTCGAATCAAAATTGTTATATCTTGGATTTGGACATTGATAAGCTTAGGAAGAATTTTTCGTTGAAATCAGTTTTTCTCCTGTTTGAATTGCTGTCGTTCATTTCTTAGACAACGCCGGGGCACTTTTCTTCAGCTTACTCTCTAAGATCAAACCTTGCGTCTTTTATTTTCTTCATTTATTACAACTTCTCGCAATGTATAATTTTTACTTCGTGTTTAGTTTTGCATCTTATTTTACAAAAAGTAAGGAAAGTTTTCCTCTATCGAGAGGTTTATTTCCAGTAATTCAATCTCTTTCCTAGATCATTTGTCAAATTTCGAATTTTATGCAATTTTAGAAATGGAAACCCTTATTTCCTACAAAATACCTCACTCCTATCGGAAATCGATAAATTATTACCTAATTACGGAAGCTCTACTGATAACCGCATTCATGCGTCAGACTTTCACTTTATTTAAGGAGCACAATTCAGGTTGGCCAGTAGTGAGTCACAGATTTCTCTGAAATGCAGATTTTACCTCAGGCCCCGATTTTACCTTTCCATCCCCTTTACGGATTAATTACCGAGATAATTATAGGGATACGACGCCCGCATCCTTGACTTGAGGGCGTTAAATCGACTTGTTTAATTGAGGGCTATGTGCAACTACCTGTGCAGTGACAAACTAGTCCAATTAGACCTAAATCCTAATCCAAAATGAGCGACTGAATTCTCACTTACGCCACGCTGTCGATTAAACCTATTCCAAAGTTGACGCCCAAACGGCCATCTATAATACACCGTACACCCAACGCAAAGGTTGGGCAACAGGGACAGCTTCCCAAAGACCAATTACCCAGTTGGCCACTCACACCAAGGGGCGTCACCGTACAAATAAACTGTGGTAATCGTTATCACCATTATAACCCCGCTTTCAAAAAGTCGAAAATAAAAAACAATTAAATAGGTGCACAATTTATTATACCACCACAATAAAGCAAGAGCGTATGAAAATGATCTCGATTGTTTAATGAGAACCTCCCATAAATTTCTTCAAGTCACCAGAGGTTGGTTTGAAGGTCTTATCTCCTGGACGCCAGTTGACAGGACAGACTTCACCGTGCTTGTCAGTGAATTGGAAAGCCTCGAGAAGTCTTAAAGCTTCATCGACTGAGCGACCAACAGGCAGATCATTGACCGTTATTTGACGGAGAATACCCTTATTGTCGATGATGAAAAGACCACGAAGAGCAATACCCTGCTCCTCAATCAGAACGCCGTAATTGCGAGAGATTTCTTGAGTCGTGTCGGCTAACATGGGGATCTGCATGCCTTGGATACCACCATCCTTTCGGCTCACGTTGTTCCAACCATGATGGCAGTAAGCTGAATCTGTTGAACAAGCCAAAAGTTGACAGTTCTTCTCAGCGAACTCTTTAGCACGGTCGTTGAAAGCAATGATTTCAGTTGGACAGACAAAAGTGCTTTCAAAAAAAGAAAATAGGCATAACAAATCCCGTTAAAGTGTGTGTTAAAGGCAATAATGGAACCTACAAATCCATAGGATAGAAGAAAAGGACCACATATTTGCCTTTGTAGTCAGAAAGAGAAACGTCCTTAATCTCTCCATCAACAAGAGCCTTGCAAGTGAATTCCGGCGCGGGTTTACCGATACGTGCTGCGGCCATGATCCGAGTGAAGAGAACGCTAAACAAGCCGATGTCGTGGCACGTTTGTGGTCTGTTTTATAATCATGGCGTCTATACAGACCTGATTGGTTGATCCGTGAAGCAATAGAAAACGAGTATTTTGTGTACGACCTAGAGATCATCTGATAATTGGTAGTTTAATTCTCGCGTGTTGCGGTGTGCCAAACGCAAGCCTTAATCATAAACCTTTGGCCTGCAAATTTTAACTGGCTAGTTCATCGATCTTAAGCCTTTTTAGTTAGTGGTCAATCGAAAATTGCCCTGGCGTCATGTAAATAACTTAAAGTATGTTCCGTTTAGTCAGATCTTAATGGTTCCATCATTTAAGTCTATAAGTAGTAATTCCATTATGTCAGGGAATCTTTGCAAATGTTAAAATTGTTTTTAGTGAGCGATTTTAAAGAAGTATATGGGTTGCTTAACTGGAATTGATTTTAATGGGAGATAAACTGCGCGTGATGAATGAAATAATCAATTGACCTTAAAATCACGGTTGAGCATATTAAAGTCAGGTGCTTGGTTAAAATATTTATCGTCAATACCTCTACATATAATAACGGACTTTTAGAGTTCAATCTAGGGTCCCTTTGTTAACTAAAACAATAGGGGATTTAGATATTCATTTATATCAAATGACAGGCTTTATGGTAGTTATAAATAGCCCTTTAGTTGACTTCGAGCTTCACAGGGGGAAGGACCATTAACGTCACAAAAAGTTGAGATGTAATTATAGGAAAGTGGTTCACAGATGAAAAAGAGAGACTAAAAGGCAGAGAAAAAGGAAAGGTAAGACGTGTACTACGGAAGTGGTGGACTATGACATGCAGTGGAGTCATGGTAGTTTGAAGTCAGTAGTAAACTGCCTATTTATGGACTTTTTTTACCATATGAGTATACGTTGCCCAGGGTGCACCTCGTGGAGGTAAGCCAATCGCGCACCCCGGGCATTCTACTTGTAAAAGCTGTATATTATTCAGATTCACTTCTTCGATTACCTATTTTTGTAATATTACTGTAGCATTAAGAGGATGGAGGCATGTACAGTTGTCAACATTTCTGATCTTGTTTAATTTTACCGAGATAACTCTTACGAATTTTGAGATTACAATAGATATGATAGCACGTTGTTAAAATTTTGACGTTCCGAAACTATATTAAAGCAGCAAATAAGTCACTTTCAAGACAAATATCCAAAGCTCACTTTGCCTCCTCGTAATTCAATTTACGAAATTGATTTTTGTATATCCCCAGTCCTTTGGGGGAACCATTTGCCAGTAATTACTTTCTATTTGTGTTGCATCGTGCTCCCTTCCCTCGCCTTGGTGGGAAGCATTTTTATTAACAACTTAACCAGCCGAATTGGCCATTCAGTTCTCTAGATACACACTCTCAGGCATCGAACCAATGATCTCTAGCCACGCAACAGTGGACCTTTTAATAGAATAGACTAAATCAAATTCCCAGATCGAATATAGACCCACTCTAGGATTTGGAGAGATGTTACTTTTTTTCTGAGCGTGGTTTGAAATTCGTCTAGAATTCTCAAATAAGAAAAAATTATTGAAGGTCTTTTCGTATCTTTATAGAATTGAATACTCGACTGCCTCCAATACCAGGAAAGAGAGTTACTCAAGTTCATAGTCCATCAATGTCCTCCAACTTTGGAGATGAGGGCCAAGCAGAGGACAAATCTAGTCCAAAGGTTGCCCCTCGTCGTCATGGTGAGTTTACAATTTTAATCGATTTGTAATATTGCATTATTGGCTTTTTCTTTCTACTGCATTTCTTCGACTAGGTATGAAAATAAATTTCGAATAATATATTTATTATTTATTTATATCAAATGGCAGGCATTTTGATAGTT